GTATGATGTATTACGTTGTGCGTCGTGTGATGTGACACTGACAGATGATGTTGATATGATGATTCTGTGAGAGGGTTGGAGCGTCCGGGCGCCAGGTCGGAGGTCAGCGAGAGGCGCGGCTACGCGCGCGTGCCAGGTTGCCTCGCCACCCCACCTCATCACGACATCGTTCTTCCACTCCCCTGACTTGGCACCTGTCACGCGCGCCATGCTAGGAGGGCGCATCGGGCGAGGTCAGCTGGCCGTGCCACTGCGCCCCGCATCGCTACGACAGGCGCGCGGCGTGACCGAGCTTGCGAGCCCTGACTCTCAGCGGAGAACGTCGGCCGCCCCCGAGCGACCGTCCGAGAAGGATGCATCGGACCTTGCATGCACAGCCACGCCCGAGCTGAGCAAGGACACGCTAACATGTCTAAAATAATGCATTGGTAGACGCACCTGGACACACGAATTGCGAGGGCGACGAGGTCGGTAGGAGATGGGCAGGATTGAGAAGGAATGACGCTGGTGTATGATGTTGAGTAGGTGAAGCGGGGGTGAGGGCGAGGGGAGCAACCTGAAAAACAAACAAACCACACGACTGCGCTTAATTCAACAGATGCTGGAATAGCTTATCCTTCTTCGCGCCGCGCACAGCTGCCGAAGGCCCGCCGCTGCCCGGCGCCGCGCCAGACTGAGCACTGGCGGCAGCTCTCTTGGCCATCGAGGCCGACGCAGCACTGGCACCGAAAACCGACGATACCTCACTCGGTGGCTGGTTGGCACATCTCGACTGCCTCCTCTTCGCCTGGACCTCGCCGCCAAGCTCAACCCGAGTGAGCTGCGTGGGCCCGCTGTCCTCGGCGCTGACAGGCGTCGACGGCGAGAGGTAGGTAACCTATGAGGAGGGAAGGGGAGAGGGAGGGGACAAGGGGGAGCGACGGAGGAGGAAGGGCAGGGATGGCGAGAGATGGAGCAGGACACGGCACCTGGATCGTGATGGTAGAAGCACTCGGGATACACAGGTGAGAAGGCAACTCGAGCTTGGTGAGTCTCTGATTGACGATCATGTTGGCAGCACTCTGATCAGACACAATAGATACCATCCAAGCTGGCACAGGGCATGCAGACGTGATCGAGCTTGCCTTCTCGGGCGTCACGTAGACGCCCAGGACGAGGGAGTCCCTCTCATCTGGTGCCGGGACCTTCAGCGCGCAGACCAGGAACGAACGGGGCCCCCGATTCAGACTCACAGTCCCACTGAACGTAAGCTCGGTCACAGCATCCAGCGAGCTAGCAAGCACGACCCCTTTTGGCATCATCGTGTGCACCCCTGGACTTGCCGGCATGCGCGGCTGCAGCGGGGGGGGTCCAGTCGTGGGCGATGAACTCCAATTGTTGATTGGCACCCTCGTTGAACGTGAGCCTGTATAGCTCGCACTCAAGCCACAAGAGAAACATCTTCATCCAGTAACACGTGGGGAATGCACTCTGGGGCAGCACAAGCACGCACGCCTCGGGTGGCTGAGAATTGTCGCCGCACACGGCCGACGCCAGGTTGATGTGCGAGCCCGCCGCCAGCGTGACCGCCTCCGAGTCCGAGAACCTGGGAAGGCGGGCGCACGGGGGGAGAGGGGCGCAGGGGGTCGCGAGGGTTAGGGCGGCGAAGGAAAAACAAACATTATCCCAGTGCGACCCTGCCTAGGAGTTGGAACCCCTAGGAAAGCAGCATTAGTAGTAACAGTAACACTAAGCTAAAGCTAAGCTAAAGCTAAGCTGAAGCTAAGCTAAAGCTAAGCTAAAGCTAAGCTAAAGCTAAGCTAAAGCTGAGCCACAGCTAAGCTAAAGCTAAGCTAAAGCTAAGCTAAAGCTAAGCTAAAGCTAAGCTAAAACTAAGCTAAAGCTGAGCTAAAGCTGAGCAACAGCTGAGCAACAGCTGAGCTAAAGCTAAGCTACAGTTAAGCTAAAGCTAAGCTAAGCTAAAGCTAAGCTAAACGCTAAGCGAACAGCTAAGCGAAACGCTAAGCTAAAGCTAAGCTACAGCTAAGCTAAAGCTAAGCTAAAGCAAAGCTAAGCTACGCTAAAGCTAACGCTAACGCTAAAGCTAAAGCTAAAGCTCCCAGGGGACTGGGGGGAACCGCTCCCAGGGGACTGGGGGAACCGCCCGGGGCGCTTTACACTGCCCGGCCCCTTTAAGCTAAGAGAGTATGAACCCTTCCCGGCAGAGCCTAGGTAGGGACAACCAAGATAGCCTGGGCCAGAAATTGCAATAGAGGCTGATGGGCCAGACGTATGGCACGAGACGGCCTAAACCATGGATCAGCCACGATCGCGACGACACGTACGGGCATGGCGAGAATGGATGAGGAGTAGGAGGAGGAGGAGGACGACGACGAGGCTTCGAGGAGGAGGAGGAGGAGGCAGAGGAGAAGCAGGGCAGGGAGGGGAGGGGGAGGATGGGGGAGGAGGAGGAGGAGGAACGCGGTGCAGGCTGGATGAGGACGAGGAGGTTACAGGTGGGAGGATTGAGACGGAGAGGATTACATGACCCCATTGAGCGTGTAGATGTCCTGGAAAGACATTGCCATCGAACTCCACGGAGAAACTGATGGCGTCGGAGCGGCCGCGGGCATCTCCGTCGTCGGCGGGCGCTGCTCCTGCGGGTTCGCGGGCACCACCGCCGACGAGCCGACCACCAGGCCAGCGGAAGCAGTACTCCCCCTGCTGGATGTGGCACTCGGCGGAGAGGTGGTGGTCATCTTGTCGTCCCCGAGCCCGTGCTGCTCGACGATGCGCCTGACCAACTCTCCATAGTCATGCACGTGGCCGCTGTACACTGCCGTCATGAAAGTAAGGTAGACTGGCACCCACTGGTCAGGCCGCAGGCGACCGTCCAAGTGGCGCAAATGCTGGGCGGCCTCCTTCGCCGCCACAGCCAACTTGGACAGGTCGATGTGGATGGTGGCACGTGAGCAAGTCATGAAGGTCTCATGCGAATGTAACACGTCGTCCAAGGCCATCTGGGCATACGTCGCACGGAGCTGCATGAACCACAACAGGTCCTCGACCTTGCCGAAATGTCGCAGTATGCATGCCGGCAATTGGGACGTCAACTTGAGGTACGAGCAAGCTTGCTGGCAGAGAGTCACGACGCCGTTTGGCATGACACCATCCATCTTCTCTTACACGAGCTCGAGGGCACATCGGGTGAACTCCGACACTGAGGCGTCGTCACTGGGACGAGTAGCAGCATCTGCAAGTACCTTCCCGGCGCGTCCGTCGTCGGCCCCGAGATGGTCGTACATATCATCGATCAAGCTGCGGTAGGCTGGGTGGCGCTTCGCGGGGATGCTGGCCTTGTTGGCAGCGATGAAATCGGTCAACGTGTTGGTCCACTCGGTCGCCCCCGACTGCAAATCAGCTAGGAGCCTCGTCTGGACTGAGGCGCGGACGTCGACGTCGACGGTCGTGGATGCGTCGAGGCTGGACTCGAGAATATCTTTGACGCTCTGCACGGGCTGGCCCTCGTCGCCACCAACGCCGAAGGCTCCGACGCGGCTCATCGCAGTGGCGGTTGCGAGGTCGCGGAGCTTGGGCCGCAGATCCGACCACTTCGTGTAGGTAGTTGCTCCCATGCGTATCGTGCCCTGGAAGCAAAACTCGATAGCGGGTGTGATCAGTTGCTTGAAGATCGCCATCTGGTCCGCATCCTCGAGCTTGCACTCTGACACCGCCGACAAGATGCAAGACATTGCATCTAGGAGCCACACCTTGTGATTATCCATGTTGGTCATATCCTCCTGCGGAATGCATTTCGATGACACCTTGGCCACCTTGGCTGAAGCCTTGGCGGAGCCCTTGACTTGGGAGTAGGACACGCCACCGCCCGCGTCCGTTGCTGCCTGTGCCGCGGCTGCAAGCTGCTTCTCCTTGAGCTTCCGAGCAAGCTCGACGCCGCGCTTGACCACCACGCTATCTGCCATTGGTTGCACCAGCCACTTGCACTTCTCGAGCTGTATCTTGTCGAAGACGAACGGCGGCGCGCGCCCGCCCGTGCACTTCACGGGCACGCACATCGGAAGGATAGCGAACCAGACGATCTTCAGGTACTCGATGCTGGTGGAGGCACGCATGACATCATGGAAGACCGACACTGCGATGTGGTGAAGGTTGAATATCGCCACTGTGTTGTCCATGCGCTTGTCGTTAAAGATGCAGTGGGTGCCGAGGTAGTCGAACGTAGCGTCGGTGAGGTTGTACCGCTTGAGCGCATTGAGAAGGGCCTGTGGACGGCGACGCGATGCGACGAGTGATGGGGAGGGGCGATATCTGTCGGTTCGACAAACCAGGCGCGGCCCGAGAGCCATCGAGTGTAACGGTTGGGCCCTGGGGTCCTGGAAAAAACGTCGGGATCGCGGACTCGACTGACATGGGCCCTCCACATCCCTCATCGCACTCAGTCCTCAGCCGCCCTCCACTCGTGCCCTGAAGCTTCAGAATCGCATGAGGAATCTGAACGGCGGTGGTGGCGGTGAAAAGCTAGGTTGCCGACGGCAGTCCTGGGCAGAGACCATCTCGTTGCCGCTCTTGAACTTCCTGTCCTTCTCGGGGTACCTGTCGACGATGAAGTCCCATATGCATCCGTACTCGTCACCCTGGACAGCCTTGTTGGCCTTGAACGCTGCAATGTAAGTCTTGGCAAGATTGAACATCTGCAAGAGAGTGAATGTCGAGCCCTTGTGCCAGTCGTTGTGGAAATCGATGAGGAACCTGATGACGTCGTCTGGCGCGCGGTGGTCCAGCACCGTCATGTGGCGAAGCCCTTGCTTCAACGTAAGCTTCACCATCTTGTTCTTGGGATCCTCAGCAGCCGCCCGGTAGACAGCGCGGCTGAGCGTGCCGTACGAGATCATCAAGTACGGCAACTGCCCACCTGGCGAGAAGACGGCCCACGGGTCTCCGCGGACCCCCGCGACGTTGCCGTCCTCCTTTATTGACTCGGTATATTCAGCCACGACTGTGTCCTGCCGCCGCTCGTTCAAGGGGTGAGGCTTCATCGTCCTCTGCCCAGACTCAGTAAAAAACTTCACAGTGATGTCACGCTGCCCAGTGACCGCATACATGTCCCACAGCTTCTCCAGCAGGGCTGCGCCCTTGAGGTTCTTGAGGCCGGGGCGCTGGTAGATCGTCTCGCACGGCTGGAACTTGGGATCGTCGCCGCCGACGGCCGCGTCGGCCGTGGCCATCTTGGTCACGCAGTTCTCCTCGGCCTCGTCGCTGTCTATGGCCCTGGCGCCAGGCCCAGTGTCATCAGAGTCGCTGCCGACGTGGGTCGTCCTCTTCTGCCGAGTCTGATTCGCCCTGGCATGCTTGGTCTTGGCGGGGGCGGCGGAGGTGCTGGCGATCTTGGCGGCGGGGCCCTTGTAGTCCTTGGCCAGCTTCGCCCGCTTGGGCGGATTCGGCACAGGTGCGTCCAAGCGAGCAGCTGATCCAGCTGCACGGTAGCTCCTCCTCTGTGGCTCGGGCAGGGGCGCCGCGTCGTCGGACGACGACATGGCGGCGGCCTCGTCTGACGACGACATCCACGAGTCGAAGGAGCGAGGGTACAGCGCTCAGAAATCAGAAGAGATCCGAATGCTGAAATGGCTGCGGGCAAGGGCCCAACAGGGCACGCAGAGGGCGGCCACGGGTGTGCTTGCTATGCCAAGCCGCTGGTTGGGCTTGGGGCCTCATGAGGAACCCGAGGGGGCCTCGAGAAGGCTATGGGGCTCCAAGGAGGCAGCGAGCGTCTTGTGACGGCATCTAGAGAGCTCCGCGAGGGCCTGTGTTTATAAGCACTTCTAGGGCCTTCTGGGAGCTCCACAAAGTGCTCGAGAAGGCGTCGGGAAGGCGTCGCGACGGCGTTACGGCGGCACGCGAGGGCCCCAAGACGGCATGGGCCCCACTCCCAGGCTCGCCTCAATCACCATCGCCTTGGGGGCTCCAAAGGGGCCAAGAGGGCTCCACGCAGCACGGGCCCGCCTCCCAAGCTCGCCTGTGTGGATATCCGCTACCATCGCCCCAGGGTGGCCCAAGGGGGGCCTCGGAGGGCACCGAGCCGCTCGGCCCCCCCCCCCTCCCCCTCCCCGAGATCCGATTACCTTCACCCCAGGGGACTTTAAGGGGTGCCCAAGAGGGCTCCAAGCCGCGCGGGCACCACCCTCCCAAACTCGCCTGAGTGGATGTCCGACCCCTCGTGATCCAATCGCCATCGCCCCAGGAGGGCTCCAGGGGGGGTGTCCAAGCCGCGCGGGTCCCCCTCCAAGGCTCGCCTCACTGCATGGCTGGATATCAGCCCCACCCGAGACCTAAATAACCCTAGAGGGCACCGAGTAGAGCGCCCCCCCCCAGGCTCGCCAGATTGGATGTCTGCACCCCCCAAGATCCAACCACCCTCGCCCCCGAGATCCACGGGGGGGCCCAACATGGCTCCGAGCCGCGCGGTCCTCGCCTGATTAGACGTTATCCTGTCTCTCGCGGGGGGAGGGGGGGGGGCGTCTACCAGGAACTAGGAACAGTCCGAGGCATGCGCGGGCCCGCCGCACAGGCTCGCCGCATTGTGTATGT